GGCACTATCACGGCCATCAGTTTCAGATCTTGCCCCCTTCCTACGTCAGGACTCCTGCAGGGTTAGGGCCCTGTGGGGGGAGCCTGCTGCCACTGGTTATCTTCCCATACCGGTTATTGCAGCCCCCCAGTGCCACGCCTCGGCGCTGTCCCCAGCCTCACCGGGCATGTGACCCTCTTGGGCCAGCCTGCCTGGCATCCTGTCACCTGGGTGCCGGACCCCTCCTGCATTGCTCTCTGGCGACTGGAGGCAGCAGGCCCGGGACCCCCTCACCTACCTCTGCTCACCCCAGACCAGGGTGGTCTCCCTGTGGTCCAAGATGCTTCATCAACCCGGCTTCTCCAGGACACTGGCCCAGAAGGGACACATCAGTTCTGCCTTCCTCCTCCACCCCCCTTTGTTGTCTGAAGGGCTTGGGCTCTGGGGGGTGAGGGGGAAACAAAGTCCAAAAGACCCACAGGCACCTTCTGCTTCCATCCTGGGACTATAGGTCCGGGGCCAGCTCCTCCTTGAATGGAGACAAGGAACGGCAAGGTGGGAAGGGGGGTTGGAAATGTCATTGTAGGCAGCCCCTGCTCCGCATGGTTCCAACATGCAGAAACTTTAGTTACCACGGTCTAGGAAAACACCATCAGTCCCTCAACAACACAGTTCAAGTGTCAGTGACCCTGTGTATTAACTGAGTCGCCGCACCAGGTAGAGACTGCCTGAGCTCGCCAGCCTGCAAATCACTACGTAAACAACAGCCGCGCCTCATGATCAGTGACCATCTGGCACTTCTTCCCAAGCCCGTGGGTGACCGGTCACCGCGTGTTACTCAGCGCCCGGACACCAGCCAGGTCGGGAGCCGTGCCACCTTCCCTGATGGACACACTGGCTACTCTGCGGAAGCGCGTCACCGAAGCCGGGAGTTGACCGACAGAGGTGAGAAAGTGGCAAGGACGGGAAGTGGGGACACTGGAGGCAAATCCAGGTGCAGCAGCGACGGGGCCAGAAGAAAGAGCTGCGGCCAGAGGGGCCTGGTGAGGCCGACTTGATAAGAAGGACGATGTCCCCCGGAAGTGACGCCGGCCACGCCCCCACGCCGACAGAGCCCTCGACACGTTTCGCGTCGCCCCAAGTGCAAGTGCGAAGGCCGCGCTGGAAGCTCATTGCGACGCGGAACAGACAGCGACAACCGACAGAGGTCCAGAAAGGATGCTCGCGGCACCTCCTAAGTCACAGCGGAAGAGGCAAACACTGTTCATACTGCTCCTGGTAAGTATCTCCTTTAAGTCGTGGTTAAATACACATAGTTTATTTATTTACTTTCTATTTTGTTAATGTTTTATTTTATTTTTTTGAGAGGCAGAATGAGAGTGCGAGCAGGGAGGGGCAGAGAGAGAAGGAGACACAGAATCCGAAGC